CTTTTTGCTATAAAACATATCAAATAAGAAAAATTTTAAAAATCCAATTTCTTCATAAATTTAGGCCAAAATGTATTCTGCTACATGTCGTTGCTAAAAAAAAACCCCAATAAGTGTATTTTAATTGGTTTACGTGAACGTTATAGTGTCTACAAATGGCGGTATATATACTGGAATTTTTTTTATGCTATTAATGGTGGCGATCAGCGACTTATAGTGGAACTGCGAGACTGCGGCGGGCATTCTGACACTGGATGGAAACTGACTAACTGCCACTGATATCCCCAGTGACACTAATACTGACACTGTGCTATTGGCACTGGGCAGGAAGGGGTTAACATCTGGGGCGATCAAAGGGTTAACAATGTGCTGTGTGTGTTTTACATCATGTGCTGTGTGCTGTTTTACTTGAGAGACATGCTGCTTTGTATCTCTCTGCTGTGCAGCATGTCCATACTGACAGGAGAGAGACCTGTGTTGTTTACACACAGGTCTCTCCCCTGTCAGCTTTGCCGTCAATCACCGAGTCGCCAGCCTGAACCCGGTGATTGATATCCCCAGCAGCCAACAGCGGTGCAGGTAGGGTGGTGCGTGTGTGTCCTCTACCTGGAAATGCAAATCACGTGTATATATATACATGATTTTACACTCTGTAGCAGTACACCTGCTATAGGGCGGCGGACAAGCGGTTAATATAATTAAATTACATTTTTTAAAGGAAATAAAGTGTTTAAAACAGCTAATGGAGCAGATCAGTGACCTTTTTTTTCACGTGATGTTCCATTTTTACAAGCATCAAACAGCCCGCTGTAGTCTTCATTAGTATTACATTTCTTATTGTACTGCCATGTTCAAGTTGTACTGCTTATGGAAAGTTAAACTTATGAAATATTGTACACAGCCCTACAGCATCACATAAATATCTTGGATCAGATTTAATTTCTGTACCTTCAGACCTCATATCAGTCCCAATCCACGCACGTACATCAGACCCCAGATCAGTCCCAGTCCACGCATACACTTCAGTAACCAGAATTTTCAAAAGGAGAGGTTAGCAATGGTAGCCTCAACGATTCTCTTTTGAAAAGTTTCCTTTGCAAAATGTTAAAAATGATTCAACTGTTATTATCTTCCCACAAGAATTTTCTGTTGCATGTGTCAGTCTAAGGATAGTGCATCCTTGCAATGATCAATGCGGTAAGCCGATTTAGATTTGTGGCAAATTTGAAATGGTTTTCTACTTTGTATTAATAACAGTAGTAAGAATGTTAGAAATCATTCTGAATTTTCTTGTTTCTTTCTTCTCACAGGTAGACAGAACAGAGATCATTAGAACATGCATCAACCCTATTTTCTCAAAGGTTTTCACAGTCGACTTTTATTTTGAGGAAGTTCAGCGCCTACGTTTTGAAGTTCATGACATAAGCAGTAATCACAACGGCCTGAAAGATGCCGACTTCCTGGGTGGTATGGAGTGCACTTTGGGGCAAGTAAGAAACAAACATTTTTTGAATTCCTATGTAAATGTATATAAAAAATCTCCCAACTTGACTATATATGTTCTTTTTGGGGGAGGGGTGGTTGGAAGACTTTGATTTTCCATATGTTTAACTTGTTTTTATATCAATTAGTTTATTAACTGCTTTTAGTTACCGTTCCCCTAAATGTATTTTCTGAGTGTTATATAGGGTGTCCCAAAAATGTATACACAATTTGATAATTATAAAGTCAGAATGAATTACCATACAGTTCAATTTAAAATTTTCAAATAAAATACATAAATGTATTTTTTATACTTAGCGTTTGTTCTCAAACTCACCCTTTTGGCCCAGGCATTGCTGATGTAGCACCCTCCAAGTATGCTAGGGGGAGCTAGACCTCAATTGCTAGCTAGGAGGGCTGAGTAGCAGCCTGGGTGTGATAGCTAACAGGGGTCAAAAACATGGCCAGAGCTGGAAGGCCTGCAGACCAGGCCTCTATTATTTCCCCCTGCTCTAGAATTTTGGGGAAAGGTTTAGAAGCAGTGGAGTGGCTGATTGGCACTTTTGATGGAGCCTGGCCAATGCCCAACATGAAGCTTGGCAAGGGGCCAGGACAACCCTTAAAGGTGATTGAGCCTGCTCAGCTTCAAGAGAGTTCAGGTGGAAGACAGAAAGAGAATGTGAGGCTGGAGGGTGCCCAGATGGGGAGAGGGGGCTTCCTACAAGCAATGGAGCTGGAAAGGATGAAAGCTCAGAGCCTGTGCAGCAGGGAAGGAGCGGCCCAGAAAGAAGGCCTTGTAGCAGCCACCGACCCACCAGCACAGGAGAAGAACTGATTGAATAGCCCTGCACCCCCTGGGCCAGATAGGGGAAGGAGCATACTGGTGGGAAACCAAATTCGCCACCTACTGGGGCTGTCTAATTTTTCAAAGCAGCAGACACTGTATTTCCTGCTCAGGGATACCTCCAGAAAGCTGGATAAGGAAGAGGAGTTTATCTGGGGTCTGGGGTGGTACTACAGGAGATGCTGACTAGCTCTCCAAAAGAGACTGTATTGCAGCAGAGACTTGTGGAAGTTGTCCTCAGTTCATCGGTTTCATTGAGCATCCCGTACACCCCCTTACCCCATCCAAGTTTAAATCCCCCTAATAAATCGTCAAAAACAAGCTCAATGACTGGTTACTGATTACTGAAGTCTAGTGTGAAAATGTGTGTTGCCTGGCTGTGCAGGACTATAGGGACCCAAAACTTCAGCGACTCCTAAGGGTGTAGTGCTACACTGGTAACATGAAGCAAAAGAATCACAAACATTGAGAATCATTTTGTTTGCTATTTGGGTGCATTCCCTTGCAATGGCTACTCCTAATTCATCAACAGTTGTTGGTTTTGTACCGTGAATTTTTCTTTTGTGGAGGGTATTCTACTAAACCCCAATCCATCTGTTTGGCAGATTCTCATCAAAATAGGCCCTTACATCACAATGGTAGTGTGAGGTGCCATATCTTGTTAGAAATAAAAGCCCCCCAACTCCAAAATCTTCTTGAATATGTGGCATGACAGATTCTATCAGCAAGTTTAAAGCAGAGTTCCACTCAAAAGTTGAAGCTCCGCTTATTTGCCTCCTCCTTCCGTCCACTGCCATATTTGGCACCTTTTGGAGGGGGGCGAATACCTGTTTTGGACAGGTACCCGCTCCAACTTCCGGCTCAGTTCGCCATGGCGAAGTGAGCCAGAAGTTCAAGCCACCTCCTTTCTTCCGCAGTCTCCTGGGAACTTTCGCAGGTCCCAGAAGACTGCCAGACCAATCAGGAGGCGCAGCACGACTCGTGCATGCGCAGTGGGCATCAGGCTGTGAAGCCACAAGCTGTCACAGCCTGGTGCCCATAGTTGAGATGCTGGCGCCATGCAGGAGAGAATGGACGGCATGGGTGAGCACATCGCTGGACCCTGGGACAGGTAAGTGTGTGTTTATTAAACGTCAGCAGCTACAGTTTTGTAGCTGCTGACTTTTAATAAACACAAAGATGGCTGGAACTCCGCTTTAAGTAAATGCATCAGTTACAGTACCATCAAAAAATGGTCCAGTTAATCCATGTGCTGACAAGCCACACCACACCGTCACTCATGGTAAATTATCATTATTTTATTACAGGTACTTGTATAGTCTGTCAGTTTATGCAGCACTTTACATACATATATTGTACATTCACATCAGTCCCTAATCCTCAAGTGGTGTACAATCTAAGGTCCCTAAATTACATTCATACATTGGCCAATTTAGACAGGAGCCAATTAACCTACCAGCATGTCTTTGGAGTGTGGGAGGAAACCAGAGTACACCCACACAGGCACAGGGAGAACATGCAAACTCCAGGCAGGTGGTACCGTGGTTGGGATTTGTACCAACGACCCTAGTACTGCCAAGTGGAAGTGCTAACCATTTAGCCACTGTGCTGTGCTCATTATGTCTCTCTATAGTGTGCGGGTTCTGATGTGGCCAGTAAGTGCAGTTAACTGAATAAGGCGCTAAGTATAAAAAGTACATTTACATATTTTATTTTAACATGCGAATTTGAACTGTATGGTATTAAATACTGACTTTAAAATCAATCAAATTGTGTATACATTTTTGGGACACCCTGTATAGCATTGTAGTAAGGGTAGGAATAGCAAGGTTCTTTTTGCTGCATGCACTAACATTTATGTTTAAATTCTAAGGAGCTGATGAATTTGTGGACACTAAATAAAATAAAACATTAGGATACATATTTTCCATTTTTGATATTGTATACAGTATTATGTGTCACCCCAATCCTTAAATCCTTAGCATTACAGATAATCTTTATGTTGGAGTACTGAGCATTGACAAAAAGTGTTATTTTTCTGTTATGAAAAATCTTACAAAGACAAAATGATTTATTTGGAAATGATGAGTACATGCTACTTTTACATGAGTAATCTGTTCTTATTTTGCTCGGTGTCTGTGCAGATTGTATCACAAAGGAAGCTGTCAAAATCATTGCTGAAGCATGGAAACACAGCAGGAAAATCATCTATAACGGTATGACTTCTAGAGAATTTCACACCTTCTCAATGACTGATCCTATTTTATATCGTCTATTCTATAGTATGTCTGATGCTTCCGCTTTCATGGGCCTTGGGCTGGTGTCTACAAATAACTTTCTGGATTGCACTTTTATTTTTACTTTTTTTATATGTACAACAGAGCTGCTACATTTTTAACATAAATACTACAAAACAAACTCTAGAAGTAAAATGACTAAGTGAGCTGCTCTTGCTTTCTATGCCATTATGCTGAAGTCAGAAACTTCCCTTATCTCCGTTTTAGAAGGTATCACCAATGGTTGAGGTAGGCTCCCTTGTTGTGCAGCATCCAAGGCACAACCCGACTTCACCGGCACCACTAGTAGTGTCCAGGGGCAGACTGACCATTCGTGCACTCGGGCACTGCCCGAGGGCCCAGGGTCAGTAGGGGGCCCCATGACATGCCCCTCATACCTTTCATAGGCTTTTTTGGGTGTGGTTTGAGTGTGGGTGAGGACACAGGGGCCCCATGATCCCCTATTGCCCGGGGGCCCCATGAGTTGTCAGTCCGCCCCTGGTAGTGTCCATTGAACAATGGAATCAGCAGTCAAGCAACAAGCCAAGGAGTGTAGAGAAGCCAGTAACAAGCTGGATCACAACAGTATACTGAAGCAGAAGAACATAGGTAGAAGAAGGAAATCTGTAAGCAGGGATGGATGGACAATGGCAGTCTTGTACAGGGTGCACCAGCATGATTGGTGCCTTCTGTGTGTACTGATGCATATGAGCATGGACATGCATACCCGAACCTATAAATTCAGTAGAGATCATTTATCTCTGTGAAAAAGTATCCCATCTTCCATGAGACAAGAAAAAATTAGTGAATGCAGATCCTTGGAAAGAAAGCCTTTTGATCCTGAAAGTTACTTAAAGTGACATTAAACGATATATTCTTATTCTCCAAATAATAATCCATACACATCCACTACTTAATAAATCCTGTAATATATTTTTCATTAAGGTCCCTTTCACACGGGCGTTCTGTATGTCCGTTTTTTCATCTGTCTGTTTACGAATGAAAAACGGACACTCTTGTATTTCTATGGACTAGCAGATGTAAACGGATGATACATCTGTTCATGCCCGTATCCGTTGACACCCATTTTTTTGAACAGAAGAAAACCCTATTTTTCGTCCGTAAAAAAAACCCGGAACGGATGAAAAACGGACAAAAGAGGATGTAAACAGATGTAAAGCGGATGAAAATCAAATGAAAAAACTGATGAAAAGCGGATGTAAACTGATGAAAAACTGATGTAAACTGATAAAAAAATAATGTAAACTAATCCATGTTTTTCTTTGAAAAAACATGACTGAACTGATGAAAAAAACGGAACGCCCATGTGAAAGGACCCTAAATAATTTCTTACTGTGTTTTTCTGCCTTCTTATAACATCCCCAATTAGTTCCTGAACCTCTCCTTTTCTCCTTTTAGTCCATTTCTGTGCTTTAGTTGCATTCATGTGCACTGTTCTATTCACACTAGAAAATCCATAGTCCATAATCAATCTCAGGAGCAAGCAAGTGAAGGTAGCTATGCTCCTACATACAGTTAGACCATGAAGAATGAACGTAGCCACCCTCTAACAGTAAGGGCCCTTTTAGACTTTCTGTGCCCTGTGGTGCCTTCTGAAGAGTGATCTGCATTGAGCTCTCTTGTAAGGAAACTTGACTGGGTTGAGGAGGCTTTATAATGCCATCTCACAGCCTGATTTAACCTTATAAAGCCGCATTACTGATCTGCACTCATGTGCATTGTACACAGTTGTAGCAATGGGGAGTTTGACAAGTGGTACCAACTGTCAAACTCTTAGCCTGAGTTAAAAATGCTTTTGCTGCGGCATCTGTACAGCCCTGTATTGAGACAATTCAGGGGGGGCAATAAATCCACAGCTCGGCCGCCACTTTTTACCTCCCCCTGGCCACCCATCTGAAAGAGCACTAAATCACATTGTAGCAGCAAGAAAAAGAAATTTGGAGATTTGGAGGTTGAGAGCAACAGAAGGTACATTTTAAAGTTAAAGTAGAACTATAGGCAAAACTTTTTTTTTCCACTTTGGATAGAGCAAGGGAGGGTTATGACCCCTGTCAGATTCCATTTTTCATCATCTGAGTTCCATTGCAGGGATTTTGCTTCAATTCCTGTTCCATAGCCAAACAGAAAGTGAAAGGGAATCCCTGCAAATTAAGGAAGTTCCTTGGGTTCCCCCAGATCAACAGAACTGGCCACATTAAAAGATTTCCCCTCTATTGCTTTTCTGGGGATAACCCAAAATTTGGGATTTTTTTTTTCATTTTAATGATAATGGTAAACAGGACAAATATACAAGGTTAATCTCCCTAATGGAGGCACAGACAGCAATAAAAACTGGCAGGGGTTCTAATCCCTCTCCAGTCTATCCAGAACTTAAAAAAAAGTTTTGCCTTTAGTTATACTAAATAATACATACTGGAATAGAAATTTTTAAAACTAGAGCTAAGTGCCATTTTCATTTTTAGGGCTTATTTACACTGCAGCTGATAAACTCACATTTGAACGCTGGAAATTGACAGCAGGTGAAACGCAGGTTAACAAACGTCATTTTTGATGCATTTGCATACCGCGTTTAGCCGCGTTTATGTGCGTTTGCATTTTAAAAGTGTTTTTTAAAGATAAGCACAGGAGAACCTTCCAAATGCCCAGAATGCACTGGAAAGTGGCAAATTAGTAACTATTTCAGACTGTTTCAGAGAAATACAGAGATTAGAAGCAGAGACAGCAGTATGTGTTGAGTTTAGCTTAGGTGTGAGTTGCTCATTAACATTTCTTTTTGTGGGAAAGGTGTCTGCTGGAGTGAGTCATTAAGGCCTCCTGGCAGGGGGTCTTCATGAGGAATTTGAGGTGTGAATGGGCATTTACATATCTTTTGTTTCCAAGGGTGGGAAAGGTGTCTGGTGGAGTGAGTCATTAAGGTCACCTGGCAGGGGGTCTTCCTGAGGAATTTGAGGTTTGAATGGGCATTAACATATCTTTTGTTTCCAAGGGTGGGAGAGGTCTGAGGTGTGAATTGGTCATTACAATGTGTGACAAGCTTGGTAGGAACATCCTGTGTTCAGTGTTTTGTCCATATAAGTACCTTGAAAATGATTTGCATGCATTTTTCATGATGAAAAAAGGCTCTGGACAGCATTTGGAAATGGAAGAGTTATAAAAAATTTCCAAACGCAAATGCTTATAAACGCGGTTAGCTGGGTTTACAAGCATTTACACACGTTTACAAGCATTTGGCGTCTGAAACGCTGATAAAATCTACTGCTGAACGCAAGTTTTCTGCGTTCAAAAAAAAACGACTGTAAACTCAAATGCTTGTAAACGACTGTAAATGACGATGTGTACATGGACACATAGGAAAACATTAGGAGAGTTCAGGGGCTGCTGAAAAAAATGCAGAAAAGCTTCTAAACGTGAGTTTATCAGCTGCAGTGTACATGAGCCCTTAATCAACAGAAAATTCTTATGAGAAAGAACTATGACCAGGGTATCTGATTCACAAACTGCAGAATGTATTCAGCATAGAGCATCAGATTTGGTGTTCTTAGAATAAAAGTAGCCCTAACTGGAAACAGGAGAACACACACAAGGTGTGACCACTCACAAATGTTAGGCTTGCAAGAGACTCACAATCATGACCATTCTAGTCAAAATGTCTAGCACCATTATGGCAAAAACATATAATTAATTTAAGGGTACATGATTGCAGTGTCTCCTAACACCTTTTTAAGCATTAACACATACATACTGTATATCAAAATTGTCTTCTTACTTTATTGGTATATGTATTAAAACAATGGATCTATAGTTTTCATAGTTTGTCTATAAATTAGACTCAAATAGTTCACACTAGATATACAACCCCAAATCCAAAAAAATGGGGATGCTGTGTATAATCTGCAATGATTAGCAATTCTCATGATAGAATGCAGGCTTGTCAACTGAGCACTGATAACAAGCCAAAAGGTCCCTCTACGCTATATTCCAGAAGACAGAATGTCAAATTTCAATTTTTCTAACCACAGAGCAGTTTTCCACTTTGCAACAGGCCATTTTAAATGAGCTTTGGCTCAGAGAGAAGAAAGTGGTGTTTCTGGATCATGTTCAGATATGGCTTCTTCTTTGCATGATAGAGCTTTACTTTGCATTTTTGGAATGTCATGGTGAATTGTGTTCACAGACACATTTTTTGATTTTTGAAAGCATTCCTGAACCCATGCATTGATATCCATCATGGAATCATGGCTGTTTTTTAATGCAGTTCCGTCTGACAGCGGGCCGAAGATCCATTCAACATCCAATACTGCGTTTTGGTCTTGTCCCTTGCTTACAGAAATTTCTACAGATTGACGGAATCTTTTGATGATAGTATGTACTGTAGATGATGATATAGTTAAAGTCTTTGTAATTTCACATTAAAGAACATTATTCTGAAATTGTACAATTTTTAGACACAGCTTTTCAAATTGGTGAACTTCTACCAGGGGTGGACTGACAAAATATCAGCAGTCCCTAGAATCAGTGGTGACATTTATCCTCCTTTAGCTGTATATCCAATATTCTGGCTCCTGCTGCAAGTGAGTGCTGGATAGGCAGTAGCAGTAATGAATTTCAACCCAAAACCAGTCTTATCTCAGCTTTTATAGCCAAAACGTCCTACTCTCCAGCAGATAAACAGTAGTGTACAGGTTTTTGCAATCACACACTACTATCCCTAAACAGTTATCAAAACCAATCACTTCACATACATAGCTAATGCAGAAACATGTAATAAAATACACACTCTCTCTTTGAATGTGTATATATTTTAGCACAATAACAGCTGATTGAAATTATATATATAAAGTGTGCAGTTTACTCCTAGCTTGATAAAGGGCTATACTTTGGGGTTGACTTACTTAAAGCAGTTCCAGTCTTTTTTCTTTTTTTTTTTAGCGTTCCTCCGTGACAGTCGCAGCTTATGCCATGCAAAATGTCATATGCTGCAGATGTAATTTTTTGTCTTCCTTGTTTTTTTAAAGATACTCACTGGCCCTTCATGATCCTGTGTTCTTCAATCTTCACTGTGGGCATCTGAAGCCCAGCTGCACTTTCTTCCAGGATACGGTGCAGCTGGCTACCCAGCATGTACCTCCTGATCTTGCGCCAGCGCATTGAGATGAAAGCACGGCGCACTCATTGCAGAGTGGGGGATGCCCATTGACTTCTGGGATTGCTGACACATACATCCCAGGAACCAACAGGCAGGAGGATATGACGTATTCGCCGAGGTACATCGGAAGTGCTTCAAGTAGCCTAAAGGTATGAAAACTTTAGGAGAAAAAAAAATGTGCCAAACATTGATGGGACAGCAGGAAGCAATGCATGGGGCCAAACTTTAAAAATCGGGTGGAACTCCGCTTTAACTTCCCTGGAGGCATTCCCAAGTGTAGCTCGGGGTAAAGCACCACAAGCGGTAACCCCGAGCTACACTCAGGAATATCTTGCAGCACTGCTCCGG